GGTAACCAGGACACTGACAGCCCCGAGGAAGGGAAGGCACCGGGCCCGAGAAAGCGGAAATACACCGGAGGCAGCCAGTCAGGGTGCAGGGTATGCTCGAATCCCCACACCTTGGAAGACTGTTGGTTCCTTTTCCCTGAGAAGGCCTGGGCAAAATGGAACCCCTCGAAGGAGCGCAGGAAGCGGGCAGAGGAGGTTTTGCAGGCAGATGACGCTCTGAGGAAGGAAGTCGAGGCCCTGAGGAAGAAGGTCAAGGGAGACCTGCCTCGGAGAGGAAGCGTAAGCAGGCCCCGAGAGCCGAGCAGGGCCCCGAAGTCCAGAGCCTCGAGCCGGGCACCAGAGCCCGCCACTGCAGCAGAGGACGCCCCGGAGGAAGATTGACTAGTACGCTACGTAGGCAAGGTCAATGCCTCATTCGCCGTACAGCACGCAGCCTTCTCGATGAACGAATACCCTCTCAAGCACTCGGCAATACTGGACTCAGGCTCTACAATACACATCTTCAACCAAGTCAGCCGCTTCCTCAACATTCGGCACGCCCTCGCGGGGGAATTCGTGTGGGCTGGGGACCACAAGATCCCTATCACTGCATACGGCGAGGTGGACCTGCAAGTCAGCAATGCATTCGGAGGAAAGAAGGTCCTGAGGCTGTACAATGTGGCCCTGTGTGAAGGCATCGCATGCAACCTGGTGTCACTGCGGCGCCTACATGAGAGAGGCATGCACTGGGATAACAGCGGGGACCCCACCTACCTACGCCGCATGACGGATCAATCGGTAGTATGCGTGCTGCAGGCCCGGCACGACCAATTCGTCATTGAGCATATTCCGGAAGACCTGAGCAGGGCCGCCTTCTTCACGAGAAGGAACCGGTTCAATTCCTACACCAAAAGGAAGCCCCGGAGCGTGAGCGCCGAAATCTGGCACCTGCGTATGGGCCACCCGGGCCCCGGCGCCCTGGAAAGACTCGTCAACACAGCTCAGGGGGTGCGCATCAAGGGCATCAAAACAGTCGAGTGTAGCGTATGCGCGCGGGCCAAAATAAAGCGACAGGTCAAACGAGAGCCAAAAGACAAGCCTCAACGGCCCGGGGACTGCTTTGCGATTGACTTTCATGACTGGGAGCCTGACGATAAGAAGTATGACTCCCTTATGCTGGTGACCGACCGCTACACAGGCATAAGCTGGGATTTTTACACCACCGACCGGAAGCACGTGACCCTTATTGCTATTTTGGAAGCCTTCTTCAAGGAGTTGAGGGTTCAGCACAAAGTCGTACCGAAGGTCATCGAGTCAGATAACGAGCTCAAGTCAGCAGAGTTCACGGACTTCTTCAGGAGGCATGGCCTAGTCTGGAAGCCCTCGGCGCCCCGTACACAGGGACAGAACGGTGCCGCCGAGAGGGCGGGGGCGTTGGTCAAGCAGAAAGCCCTTGCACTCGCTTTGGGAGCCGCATTCCCGAACAAATTGTGGCGGGAGATCTCTCGAACGGCTGTCTACCTGCTCAATAGGCAGCCTCGCGCTCAGAATGACTGGAAGACTCCTTATCAGGCCTGGTATTCCTTCTTCAACGGCTACACTCTTCCGTACTCAGGGCACTTGCGGGTCTTTGGCTGCAAGGCATACGCGATGACCGATAGGGCCCAAAACAAGGAAGAACGCCTCAAGCGTTTTGAGCCTAAGGCGTGGATCGGCTACCTCATCGGCTACACAGCGACCAATATCTACAGGGTATGGGTGCCTTCAAAGAATGCAGTCATCGTCACCCGGGACGTCATCTTCGACGAGAATACTATATTTGACGGCAAGCTAGAAACCCTGGCGCAAGACGTCCGGGAAATGGACCCTACAGCCCTCGCGAACCATCTTGAGGCCCTCACGGTTAGGGAACCTGATATTGAGGAAGTGGTAGCCACCCCCGGGGACCAGGAAGATGTCAGGGACATTACCAATATACTAGAGGATGACGACGGCGTCATAGAGGATAAGATCGTAGCGTACAGGGAGGTCCCTGAGCCACACGGAAGCCACACGGCAGGAGGGAAGGGCAGCGGGTCGCTCCCTACACCACCACAGTCGCCGCCTGCAGCTATGCTAGCCGGGGCGATTACATTATACGGGCCGGGGGCCGACCTTGGGGAAACCCGGGCAGCCAAGCTCAGTATGACGGCAGAATGCGGGCCGGGGGCTGATCCGGGGAAAACCCGGGCAGCCAAGCTCAGTATTCAGGAGCATTGGAATGGGTCTTTCCATGCAGGCACATTGTCTTCCAGGGTAGGGACCCTAGGAAGGAAGACCCTCACGAGGGCACAGGTCGAACGGTTGCTAAAGACCCCGTTGTCTATACACCGCCGGGACCTCCCGGACCCACCGGGTCACCACGGGGACTTGAAGGACCACCCTATGGGGAACCTCTTCGAGGACGCAGAGAGGGCACATCTACAGAGTCATATAGAGATGCGTTCGTAGGTAGAGGTCCTACAACGAGGCCTGAAAGGCATCAAGGTCCTAGACTACAGGTGGGTATACGTCTACAAGTTCGATAAACACGGAAGGTTTGTCAAATGCAAGGCCCGACTGGTTGTCCGGGGAGATCAACAGCCGAAGAACCTCTCGGAAAGCAATTACGCTGCAACCCTAGCCGGCCGATCCTTCCGCACGATTATGGCGATAGCTGCACGCTTCGACCTTAAGCTCCTGCAATATGACGCCGTCAATGCCTTCGTAAATGCCTCCCTGGACGAGGAGGTTTATATGCGCATGCCACCGGGGCACAAGAAGCCGGGCACCGTTTTGAGGCTCAATAAGGCTCTATATGGACTCAGGAGATCACCACTTCTTTGGCAGAGGGCACTCTCCGGGGCACTCAAGACCCTAGGCTACAGCCCCGTCCCTCACGAACCGTGTGCCTTCACCAACAACGGCGTGATCATTTTCTTCTATGTGGATGACATCGTCCTCGCCTTCAGGGAGCAACAGAGGAAGGAAGCTCTCGAAGTCATCGAGAAGCTCAAGGCCCGCTTCCAGCTTACGGGTGGGGATGATTTGCAGTGGTTCCTAGGCATTGAGATCCTCCGTGACAGGGCCAAGCGGCGCCTGTGGTTGTCACAGTCTTCATACATCACCAAAATAGGTGCCCTTACCGACACATCACCTACACCGCCCACCAGCACGCCTATAGCGAGGGAGGAGCTATTGCCCTATAAAGCTCTCGCGAAGAAGGCCGACATCCTACGGTATATGCGGAAGGTCGGCTCCATCATGTATACCGCCGTCATCACTCGCCCGGACGTGGCTTTCGCCGTCTCCCGGCTCTCTCGCTTTACGACCAACCCCGGCCCGGAGCACCATAAGGCGGCTGACCGGGTCCTCGGCTACCTACTTCGCACCAGTCATCTAGCCCTACAGTTCGGAGGCGACGATGACTTCAGGGTGGCCAGTGACGCTTCCTTCGGGGACAACTCGGTAGACCGGAAGAGCTCACAAGCCTACGCCATGAAGCTTTTTGGGGGCATGATCGGCTGGAGGGCGAATAAACAGGCCACCGTGACGACTTCAACCACCGAGGCGGAGTTGCTTGCTCTCTCGCAGGCCACAAAGGAAGCCCTGTATGTCAGCAGGCTGCTGAAGGAGCTGCACGTCAACCTTGAGGACCACCGCATCACCGTCGAATGTGACAACCGCATGACTATTCGGTTGTTGACAGAAGAGATCTCCCAGTTGAAGACGAACCTTCGGCATGTTGATATTCACAACCACTGGCTGCGGCAGGAATACAGGCTTGGGCATATGAAGGCAGTGTACACGAAGAGCGCAGAAATGATCGCTGACGGCCTGACGAAGGCACTACAAAACAACGCCTTCACGGAGTTCGTGCATCAGATGAACCTGCAGGACGTGTCACGGCAGTTGGTGGCTAGAAGGCAAGAGGAAGGAACCCCGGTTGGGCATTTGGATTTGCCTGGGGAGTTGTGAATGCCCTCAGGGCACGGAAAGGAAGGAAGGATTTTGTGTGTTTACTTTTACATGCGGTTACTTTGGGCAGTTGAAGCCGGGAATAGCTTCAACTGAGGGGGTGTGTTAGAAAGGCCATACTGGATTTGGCATGGTCTTGAGGGTCCGGGCAGGGGCCGGGCAGGGTGCGCACAGGGCACCTAATTAGACCGCCTTTTCCACAGGCTCTACACTGGTCCCCGGCCTGCAGGGCGAAGAGCTTTTCTTCCTTCTACACAACGGAATACACACACTTGGAATACCCTCTTTTTGACTGCTTTTGCATGCTTTGGCTTCTGAAAACAAGTTCAACTTGGCGCCGCGCGTCGACCGGCGCCTGTGGTGCGGATGCAAGCTCGGCATTGACCATTCGGACTGCGATGCAGCCGTCGACGGCCTCAAGGGGTAGATCCGCCAGCACAACGGCCAGATCCTAGTGCCCATCGGCCAGGCCTACTACTCCATCCACGAGTCCGTCGTCTCGTTCGTCTGCACGCCCCGCTCCAACTCGGGCATCACGCCCGTCGACGAGCCCACCGTCACCTTCGTCTACTCGTTCAGCACCGACAATTGCGGCTGGTACGTCCCGGGCACCTACAAGCACGGCGACCTGAACGTCGCGCCCGAGGATATCGGCTACATGAACTACAGCCCCGGACTTGACTTTTGCGGCAGAGCCGAGGCCTCGTCCGCCGACCACTGCTCGTGAAAAAAAGCCACGGGTATGACTTGTCTGAAAGGAGACTGGATGGGGTTGAATGGAGAGGATGGGTGATTGTGATTCTGATTCTTGACTGTCTTTTATGACAATTCAAATAGCACAATTCGTACCTGCAACTAAAATATAACTAGTCTGTTGCAAGAGAACTGTTCCCTTGACTTTTTCAGTGAAAAGGATACAAGATCCACGGTGAAACTTAATCATGTCCCTCCCACGAAGATGCAAGCAATTTTCTCCACTCGGAATAATACCGCTGTATTGTCACGCATTAGGCAGCGGCAAAAAATGGGATAACCAGGAATCGAACCTGGGTCCTCTCGGATGTTGCTTTTCGGGGAGCCACAACGAGAAATTCTGACCACTATACTATTATCCCTTCTCCTGGTGGATCGGTGCTCGATCCACATTAACGCCTCGAGGCGGTTGTTGAGAGTGTGGACCCAGTCACGGTATATCAGCTCCTCTCTCCCGCCGAGTGGAGCACAAATGCAAGAGTAAAGACCTTGCCGGAGTAAATAGTCCCTGGATGCGGGCTATGTCGTATTTATGCCGTGTTTATACTGCACTGCAACCGGCTTCATTGCACCATCGGCATCGAAGCCGGATATAATTATGCACAGACAAGTTGCTGAGAGGGTGTCGCGCGTGTGGCATGATGTATTGATACAGACTGCGAACCGAGCACACGTGAGCGCGTTTATTCCTTCAATGCACGGAGTCTAAGAGGAAACCACCGATTCTTAGGTATTATGTGGGACTTGCATGATCAAAAACTGAACTCCGTTCCTCCCCGGAGCCATCGCCAATATCATGTGCCGCGCCTCTTTCGAGCGCATCAACGGATCCAGACGGCTCTGCTCGATTGGGTGCAGCTTTCTTGTACGACACCACCACGCAGCCCAGACCACCCATAATTACCAAGACCCCTGGATCACAAATATGTAAATCCAATCATGAAGCCATTTATTGGCTGGATTAATCCGACAGCCTGGGGCGGGTACCCGATCCAGAGTCCCCGACTAATTACCAGCGTGGCACTGCATCGAGTTAGACATTGCCAGGCTCAAGGCAGCCACTCTTTTAGGTATTGAGCCTCCAGTATGAATGCAGATATCAGAATTGGGGGCGACCGCGTGCCACCAAACAATCCAGATTCGTCGTCTAAATAGGTATGTGATAGGATTCAAAGGCAGAGCTCAAGTGACCCCTCGCCCAGAATGCCTTGCATGAAACCCGTTTCCCGCCGCTGCATGGGGGCAGAAAGGAAGAGACGACAGCCCGTTGGACCAAAAGGGGTATTACTTTGACAGGCACGGACTTTAAACGTGATTGGTCTATCATCCGGGAGACTTTCGGGAATGGCCCCCAACGACCCGACAGCTACCAGATAGCCGGGAACCAAGTCGTGTCGAAACAACCATCTGACACGCTGTGGGGGTATTGAAGAAGTGAGACTGTGAGGCGCATTCCTGGGAAGAAAAGAATGAGAGAAAATCACTCGGCATTAATTCTGCCCAGTTGCTAGGTACCTGCCAGGTGCGGACTATGACAACAGCGGCAGCAGCCGGGACACGGACGACATCATCGAGCGGTTTGTATCCATTATTCCAGCTGCATGTTCTTTGATATGATACTCCGAACTGACGGTTCTTGTTGGGCATTAGAGCCGTGGCCCGGATCCTCCACGGCGTCAAGGTCGACTGCACCGGTAATGTCAGCTACCCGTGAGTGTTTTACACATTTCCTTTCTTCAGCGATTTCGGGATTGATTGCCCGGCTGACCTTGTGGATGTCGATGATTTGATCAGGCTCGACTCGCCGCGATACCGCAACCGTCGTGTTGTCAGGGAGGACGGTCCCACGGAGATTTGTCTTGAGTAAGATTTGCGGTGCCTCTGGGAATATGCCGGACCCAAAACCGGGAACTTCATGATATTCCGCCAAAGAGCCGAATGCTGTGGTCAAGGGTGAGGGGCAGAAATGGGGGCGGCACGACGCGGGGTGCCGGCTGCCGACGGATAGCTCTGCTCTCTTTGGGCGCAGGTTGGACAGTTTTGTGAGGTAGGTACCACTTGCTAATCCGAAGCGACTTAGATACCTGAGTCCTAAGATTACAGGAATGCTCTGGACGGCTTAATGATTCCACCAAATTCTTTGACTGAGAGGCAGCACTGCAACTTGGGTACCAATGCAGGCGGAGTAGAGCATGCACTGGTTCAGAGAGCGTGAACGCGCAGCTGTGTTCTAAAGCCCATTTGCGGAATGACCACGCGTCTTTCGAGGGCGGAACGACCAACAGGGGCGGCTGCAGCAACCCAGATTCCGTTCGATTTCAGGGAGGAGATTGATACCGAGCTGGAATGCCGCCTCATCCCAGTCGACAAGCCTGGCCTCCTGCTTCCCAATCGTTTCAGACTGACGGGCAGCGACTCATACAAGAGCTTGAGGCCCGGCGATCCCGAACTGAAGCTGCAGGCAGGCAGGGTTGCAGTCTTGGCCGGGGCCAGCGGTTGCCATTACATGAACATGATACAAGACGAGACGAGCTTCTGCCTCCCCTCGGGCAAATGGGAGAGGGTGTGGGCCCTTGCGCCTGAGGATGACGGGGGTCGAGTCAAGGTGCGAGAAGGCGACTCAGGCTCGTGGGTAGTGCATCCGGACCGGGGATCCGGCTTTGGCATCGCCATTACCTCTACCTCCCACACAGTATACCTGATGCCCCTGAAGAGCATCTCCGAGCGCGCAAGCTACCAGGGTCGCCAGGGATAGTGTAGCCTCCCGGCATCGCAAGACATCAAGACTACTAGGGAAGCTACTCAAAAGAAACTCCACGACAAAGCTATTAAGCGGGAAGCTGCGCGGAAAGCTATATCAACCAACAAGTCCCTTATAACGGACGGACAAGACCCTGACTTGCAGCCCGGCGATGGGTCTAGGGTAAAAATCAAGTTGAGGAGGGAAATTCAGACGACGACCACAGTTACGGAAGAAATGACGATAGAAGGCCCTCTATCTGATATTCTTCAACACCCGAACCGCCCCTGGAACCAAGCACGCGAGCATAAATCGAGGTCAGGGGCGTCAGGAGCGTCCGGATCAAGTAAACACCCTGCACCCACATCAGGTATCAGTTCCAATTCATTTTCCTTCTCTTTTGGTACCCGAGATATTCTTACCTCAGGTATGCATCCTGAACTGAAACCGCTGATACTAATATCTCACAGGGCACGTGCTCTCCTACGCCCAACAGGATCTTGCCGCCATCGAGGAAGCCCATTCCCAAGGTAGTTAACGAATTACATGTGTACCCCGCAAGCGAGAAAACTGGTGATTATACTGACCGCGCCGCCCGTCGCAGATCCTGTCTCATGGCGCTCCAACAGCGGCGCTACCTGGGGACCCGCGATGGGAGACCAAGACCTTGCCCCACCACCAAGTTTAGAAGACAGGAGAAATAATAGGTTGTCCCGCTCCAAGGCAACCCGACACTGGTCGTGATTTTGGAAACGTATCGAGGCACATAATTACCCAACACAGTTAATTAGTTAATGAATAAGAATCTCAAATTGCTTCTAGATCTCCCAGCCTTAAATTCTCACCGAGCTCATCATCACGACGAGGACAGAATCTTCAATCCCAGCAAAGTCAGCGGACGAAAAGCGCGATAAGCGCCTAGCCTCAGACTCCAGGGCGCCAACTAGGCTAAACTTAAATGGATGAATGCTATTACGTCGACGCGACGACGGCTTGAATCATGCAAAAAAAAAAAAAAGAGAATAAATACAAACATGCACCAATTAATTACGTCTCTAACAGCAACGGCGACGGCCGGACACCCTCCGGAAACGTCGCCTCCCACGCGGCCATGACACGCAAGATAGCTGCCTCGCAGCCGGCGGGCGCGAGGGCGAACAGCGAGAAGGCGCGGCCGTTGAACCGGGCGAAGCCGAGCGGCAGGTTGCCGATGGGGAAGCCGCCGGCGGCGCCGACGGCGGCTAGCATGGAGTCGCCGGGCGTGAGGATCACGTCGACGTCGTGCGCGGCCAGGACATTGTGCACGCTGGCGCGCGCGAACTCGCGCAGCGCTGCAAAGTTGCGCTCGTATTGCTCCTGCGTGATGGTCGTGTCGCGGACGGCTTCGAGGCCTTTTTGGTTGTCGTTTTCTAGTTTCAGAGCACGTTGCATTAGTCGATGTGATAGAGGTGATGAGGGTTCAGTATTGGGGGTGGAGAGACCAACGCGCGTTGAACTCAATGTCGGCGTGGTCAAGGTTGAACTGGATGACCTCTTCGAGGGTCTGCGGCGCGCCCTCGAACAGCGACAGGTACCGGGAGAAGTTGACTTTCATGGCGTAGGCTGCATACCCACAAAGAGGATAATAAGAAAAAGATTAGCCAACTAAGGCTTTCTCGGAGCAGAAAGAGGAGAAGTCATTACGCCAAAGATCGTCTATATCGCCAAACTGCGGATCTGGCAGGGCTAGCGCAATCTCTTCCCAGGTCGGCAGAGGCAGCCCCTTGACGACCCTCCCACCCAGCGCCTGAATCTTTTCCCGCGCCGCCTCGGTGGCGACGTCCGTCTGCTGGAAAAAGTCGTCGACGTGCTCGGTCACAAACGAAGGCAGCCTCCACAGGGCCGGGTCGACGAAGCCGACCTTGAGCCCGTCCCAGGTGCTGGGGAGCGGGTGGTAGTGGCCGGGATCGTGGAGCTGCATGATGGCCGAGAGCGTGGCCACGTCCGAGACTGTCTTGGCAAAGGGGCCCTGGCTGTCGCACCCCGGCGCGCCGGGCTGGGTGCCCGTGTGATCCACACTGTCGGGCGTGAGCTTGATGGCGTACACGCCGGCCCGGGACGCCGGCGCGATGATGGAGCCGTCGAGCTCAGTCCCTATAGATAGCGGCGCAAAGCCCGCAGCCACGGCAACAGCGCTGCCCGACGACGAGCCGCCGGGCCCCTGTCCATTGTGTCAGTGCAAGTCCATGTACGGGGGGCCGTGGGGGTGGTATTGTCGTTGGGTCCGGGGCGCACCAACCGAGGTCGTGTAGAACGTTGCATCAGGAGTCACGCCGCCTTTGACATATGGCGACTGAGTCTGGCCTCCGACGGCCGACCACCCGCACTGAAGCCCCATTCCCTTGGCGTATCCCCACTCCTGTGTCATGTTTTAACAATGGCGTCTCTCTGAGGCTTAGGCTTGTGTGTTTACTGACACTCAGGTTTGCCTTGGCAAGGAGGATGAGACCCGCATCGGCCAGCGTGTTGATGATGTTGGCGTCGGCTTTGGCCTTGGCTGTCATGAGGGCAAACGAGCCACATGTGGTGGGCATATCGACGGTGGTGAAAGAGTCCTTGCCGCGATTTTAGCTGGTGTCGCTA